CGGAAGTTTGCGTGCGGAGTCTTGGTAACGTTGGTCAAGTATCGCCAGGGGGGAAGAGTTCGACAATCTTGCACCACTTACACCAGTTGTACCACTTCACTCGGGGGGAGGGGGGGGGTAATCTTGGTAATCGTGGTGATCTTGAAGTTTGTCTGATGCATAGGAGGCGTGCAAGTGCCCACCAGAACGGCCCAACCAGTTTAAACCCTACAAACCCAACAGCCTAAACCCTAAGCCTTTTTGCATCCAGGCCTGTTGCGACTGCCGGGTACCCTGAAGAAGGGAAACTGAGGGCCAGGGCTTAGGGTTTAAACCGTAAAGAACCACAACCAAAGCCCAAACCTAAACCCTAAGGAGCCCAAACTTCATGGTACTATTAATACTAATACGCCGGGCGCACATAACCCTAAACCCTAAGCCGCAAAACCCCAACAGCCGAAACCTTAAACTTATGAAAACTGTCCCCTGCAAACGGCAGACTTCCTGAAAAGAATTTCTAGCCATAAAACAGCATTCGCAGAAGGCGTTTCTAAAAAAAAACGCTTCTAAAAAGTATTCGCAAAAAGCGTTCCCCAGAAAAGGCGTTGCGAAAAGCGATGCTGAAATCCGTTTCTAGAATAACGCGCTTCTAGTTCCTGTGTGATTTCTGTTTCTACAGGAAGGTGTTCCCAAGATCCATACCTGATTTCTGCTTCCAACACTGTGTCTCCTGCAATCTTCTTCCTAGTGTGTGTTTAAATCGTTTAAAACAGGTGGCTTTGGAAACCGTTCCTACGAAGCTCTATACTGCTCCAGCCTCGAGGGTTTAGACGCTGGCGCCGCCATGCGGCTACAAACGTTGCCATGAGGGCATATTGCATTCCAGCGTCCATGCGGCCAGCCGGAAAGTCACCCGCGACCGGCCGGGGAGGGGGGGGGGGGGGGAAGGGGGTAAATGCAAAAGAATGCACTTTTTGAAAGCGCCTCACATCCAAGAACGCAAAAAATTGTTGTTTGAAAGCGCCTCAAATCCAAGAGCGCATTTGCCTGCAAGGCCCGGGAATGCAATTTTACATTGTGGAATGCCTGTTTGTTTGCATTTTCGGGACCCTGCCCCAAAAGCATGATTTTGCTGTTTTTGGATTTGCGCACCCTCCCTCCCGGGCAGCAGAATGTGGAAACACTGATGACCTTTCATCTGGGACCAGGGAACGCAGTTCGGCAACGCATTTGGGGTACAGATGCTCCCAGGAGTATACAGTTAGGCAATACATCTCAGGAACAGACATGCTCAAGGAATACATGTGAACAGTGATGCTCGGGAATGCATTTCAGGAACACATGTTATGAACAGATACTTTCGGGAATGCATTTCAGGAACGCATATTTTCAGCATTGCACTTTGGAAGCGCATTCCGGGAACACCTGTTTTCAGGAACGCATTTCGGGAACGCATTTCAGGAACATTTATTTTTAGGCACGCTTTCTGGGAACGCTTAATACATGCTTTTGGTGCCGAATCCAGATAGCAAGATGTTTGCACCAACGGGTTTCATAACCTTAAACCCTGGACAGTGAGGCGCGAAACTCTAAACCCCGAGAACATTAAAACCATCATTCCCACATCGATAAAAATAAAACTCATACTAACTACAAACCCTAAACTCTAGACCTTTTTTGAAACCGGACTTGATGACTGCCAGCACTCTAGACCTAAACCCATAAACCGCGTGCCCCGGGCGCGAGCGCGCGCGCGCGTGCGCGTAACTTCAAAACCTTTAACCGTCCAACCCCAGCAGCCTAAACCCCAAACCGCAAAACAACAAAATCCCAAAAACCCTAAACCCTGTACTACTGCTACAAATACGAATACTACTTATAACTACTAACTACAAATCCTAAACCTCAACCCTAAAACCGTAACCCTCACGGGCCATGCGCGAGCGCCGGGCGGGCGTAATTCCCAAACCCCAAAAAAACAGCCTAAGCCCTGACCCTAAACCGTAAATGCTAACACCAATGCTACTTACTACTCATAACTACAGTCTACAAACCCTAAACCCTAACCCTAAAAACAGAAAGCCGCGCTTTCCGGGCGCCCGTAAGCCTAAACCCTGAACCGTGAAAACGCCAAACCCTGAACCCGAAAAACCATGAACGCTAAACGATTAAACCCCAACAGCCTAATCCCCAAACCCTAAACCGTAAGACCCCAAACCCTCAAAACCTTAGACCGCTTCATACTAACACTGTCAAATCTAAGTAACCACACCACTAAGTACAAACCCTAAACCCTAGCCCCGTACAACCCAAAACCCAAAACCCCAAAACCCTCTCTCTCCAAACTGTAAAACCCCAACAGCATAAACCCTAAAAGCCCTAAACCATGCACTACCAATACTAATACTGATTAATCCAGCTACACATAGCTATACTAACTACAAAGCCCTAGTAGACCCTAACCCTTAAACCGTCAACCGCACGCGCCGGGTGCGTGTAACCCTTTTTGCAGCAGGCCTCGTTGTCCAGCAGCCCGGTTACAGCAAAGAGCCCCTCTGTCCCCCGCTTCTTCAAAGCAAGGAGAGGAGTCGAGCTGACACTCGCGACGACACTATCTGATACGACACTACCTTACTATACTGATTGATTGCAAGACTGTGAAATGCGTGTAACCCTAAACCCTAAACCGTGTAATGCTAATGGTACCACTACTTAAAACATCTTAAAACTAGAGACCCGCCCTAACCCTAAACCCACACGCGCCGCGCGTAGCCGTAAAGCCTAACCCCAAATCGTAAAACCCCAAACGGTGGGATGGGGAGGGCATAATCTTGTGGCGCAAGTGGCACTACTGGTGCAGGTGGTGCAAATGGTACAAGATTGCAAGATTACAAGATTTCAACTTTTCAACCTTCCAGTATTCTTGACCCCCCCTCCGGCCGACCAAGATTTCTAGATCAGCAAGATTTTGCAGTGTCTTGATCCCCACCAAGATCGGCAAAAGGTTAGCAAGACTTTGGCAAACACAATCGGCTCTCAATTGCCGCACGTAGTAGTAGTAGTAGTAGTAGTAGTAGTAGTAGTAGTAGTAGTAGTTAGTAGTAGTAGTAGTAGTAGTAGTAGTAGTAGTAGTAGTAGTAGTAGTAGTAGTAGTAGTAGTAGTAGTAGTAGTAGTAGTAGTGGTAGTAGTAGTAGTAGTAGTAGTAGTAGTAGTAATAGTAGTAGTAGTAATAGTAGTAGTAGTAGTAGTAGTAGTAGTAGTAGTAGTAGTAGTAGTAGTAGTACGTAGTACGTAGTACGTAGTACGTAGTACGTAGTACGTAGTACGTAGTACGTAGTAGTAGTAGTAGTAGTAGTTGTAGTAGTAGCTGTAGATGTAGCTGTAGCTGTAGATGTAGCTGTAGATGTAGCTGTAGCAGTAGCAGTCGCAGCCGAAGCAGCAGTAGCAGTAGCCGTAGCAGTCGTCGTCGTCGCCGTCGTAGTTGTTTGATTGGTTTTCGTTCATTTGTTCGTTCTTTCGGTGTCGTTCTTTCCTTCTGTCATTCTTTCTGTCTTTGATCGTGCGTCGCTGCTTGTGTCATTGGTGGCGCTCTTTCTTTTTATGTTTTGTTTTCACTTGTGTTTATGCATACAACCGACAGCTTTTTTGATCCAAACTGAACTATGCTGTCGATCGTTGTTCGCCATACCCTTCCTTTTTGTCATTCCTTTCTTTCTTCGTTGTCCTGCTCCTAATTTCTCTTTGCGATCCTGATTTCTAGTGTTCTCGTTTTGTTGATGTCCCTACAGTTCCCGTGTTCCTTCTTGTCTTCCTTCCGCACTCCCCCCAACCCTGCCGACCGCGACAGCCCGCAGGGCCCCTCAGGCCACCAGAACCCAACAAAAAAGCACCGCAAAACATAGACGTAGCAAGATTCCAATGCAGATGCAGTGGGCAGGAGGTTCGAGGCAAGTGTTCGCAGCCTGTGAGGTTCAGGACGAGTTCACTCAGCAACGACGATGCAACTAAAATTCTGCACGGCGGCTAAGCCGCCTCTCACAGCACAAGCACAGCCATCTTCACATGCTGCTTCCCACATGTGCTCAAGGTAGACGAGACACGAGAAACCAGCCGAGGTACCTACAGTACAGCAACGACCTGAACAATAAAATTGCCAGCACGTCCTTGCACAGTAAACACGAGGGACTTCCGAAAGTGGCCTTATTAAGTCTCTGATTGGGAGCCGGTTGGGTGTTCCAGTGCAACCTGCAGGCAAGGCGATGCAATCCTGATCCTGAGAGCCATGCCCCATTTTGCAAGGCCCGCTTCACGGACTGCAGCTCTGCCTCCAACTGCATGAAGTTTCGGCCATCTGAAAAAATCCGTAAAGTTCCCTTTATCTGCGATGAACGGCCTGGATATTTGCAAGCTCAGCTGCAGGTGATGCCATGCTCAGGGGCCAGTACCTCGGCTTGCCGACTAACGAGTCGAGCACTTCGGCCTACAACTCGCCCCGGCAATGCCGACGCTTATCGCATGCCCATGCCGCTTCACTCTTTGTTTCGCTCACACGACCCACAGCGACTAGTTGAGTCGCAGCATGTCGGACCGTCCTGGAGCAATCCTGCTGCCTGTCAAACCGCCTCGCGCAGTGAATGCAAATGTGCCCTGCAGAAGCCTAGCAGACACAAGGACCCCTGGACCTGTTGCGCACCGTTGCGCAGCATCGGTATGATGATCGGCACGATTTACGTGTATCAATGAACGACATCTCGGGCGGCCACCCTCGAGCTGGCTCGTCACGAAGTCCCCCATGAAGGACCCAAATGACTGCGTCATTTAACCAAGGAGAAATTGCTTCCCGGCGACGTTCTACTTGCGATCATTCGCCTCGCCAATTAACGTAAAAACTCTAAATTTCAGCCATTTTCTCCACAAACAATAATGCAATTAACGAAGTGGTGAAACGGTGTGAAACTCGCTGGTCTTTTGTGAACTTCGCGGAAAGTGAAGCTACTCAAGCCGCTGGCAGCGGTGCCGGTCACAGCAACAAGCCCAGGCTCGGAGAAGTCTGCAAATCCTGCCGGTGGGTAAAGCTTACCAGGCTGCCAAGCTTAATGCCAAAATCCAGCTGAAGCATGCAACACAGGCCCGCGAGCTGCAAAGACAAGGAGCTGTCAAGAAAGAGCTTAAGTTTATCCATGGGCAAAAGCAGCTGTCGGGCTACATAACTCTATACAGCAGGAAGATGCAGGAAGGGTTGGCATCGGCAATCGGGCAGACCTGCAATACTTCGGCCGGAGCCCCTCGAGCCGCGTCCACAACCGCCGAAGTCGGTGACATCGGCGACTCTCCACCAGCTGTCATGGCAGCCTGCCGCTTTCTGCCGCGTCAGCTTCAAACAACATGACTCAAGGGGCCCTTCTCCAGAGACTCAAAGACTGCCTGTGCTTCGGTGCGGGAGCGCTGGCCACCGCCAGCATCCACATGTGAGGTTGCCTGTGCGGCAGGACATGTTCACTCCAGCCTTGAAACAAAAGTTTCAACACACAGCTGCTGCTGCCTCATCCAACGCGAGCATAAGCTGCTCCAGCGCTGTTGCAGCTGCCTCCGTGCGACAAGGCGATTTCCTGCGCTGTGGTGATATGTAGCCGCAGCCAACTTCTGCGTAGCTGTGGGCCGGACTTCTGTCAGGGCCAACTGGCTGCTTCGCCGAGCTCCGGCTAAGTCTGCCCTCGATTGGACTGGACGCACCGCGCGGACAGGCGGACAGTTGCAACGGATGCCCGGGCCTGGCAGCTGAGACCGTCTCTGCAGCGGTAAGAACTTTGCCCCGCAAGACGGACAATCTGCGCATGTCGGCTTAATGTCAGAAGATTCTGCAAACAACACGGCACATCGTGTCCCGAGAGCCGCATCCTTCGGCTGTACGATTAATTGTAAATTGCGATCGACCAAAGCATTCCAATTCCTCTCTCTTGGACTTCGGCTTCGAAGATTCGCGGTGAATCGCGCTTACCAATCGAACCAGCCATGAGGATTACGGCAAATCAGCAGGAAGTGAGATAGGCAGGAGTGAAGAAGCAGAAAGTCCCATCTAGTCAGAGATGGCAGCATGGGTCCTGGCAACAGTGCGCTGCACCACTTGGTGGCATGCCTCCCTCTTCATGACCTCGAGCCGACAACATAGCATGGGGCCGTAGGTGCAATGTAGGCTGGGCCCGTGCTGTCCCAGCGCCTTTCACGAGCCGGCTTTCCATATCCTTTGCAGCCTTGTGCAAGTTGGCAGTGTCGTCTCACCAAACATAGGGTAAGGATTTGCATGTCGGTGCGGACGCACATCACGACTAAGCATAGCTGCAAGTTGCAGAAGCTTCTATGCTCCAGGTGTTTGCATTTCGTGATTCGTTGTCTGGCATGTCTGTGATCCCTGTTATGTGGTGATGTATCAGCCATAAACCCAAATCACTCCATTACCTGGAAAGTCCTGATTCTTGTGTGGTTGCCGTTCATGCTGCGGAGGTTTCAACTGCCCAGCGGCTGGAGATCTCACATTTCAACCTGCGCTCTCAGCAAGGCACCTCCAGATTGCGCTCAAGTGCCTGCAGCATCTCAAGAAAGCATTCCAGTAGCCTTCCGCTAATGATAGCTACCCGGGCCCCAACCAGTGTGACTTGGTGCACACACACACACACTCTTTAGTTGGTGATGCTAGCTTGTGTTACCAGACGCTAGAAGTAGCCTATAGCCGACTCTCTGGGGCACGGCAAGCCCTCGGCCCACCCTCGGCCCTCGCCTCAGAGGCCTGTTCAATGTCGAACCTGGCGCCGGTCAAGACCACAGAAGAGCGCAAACTCTGCATGCGACCATCCGCGACCTCGACTGATCTGGCTTTGGGGGACCTGAGCTTTCAATCAGCGCGGAGTTTCTCACCTCCCAGCCGAAGCCGAGAAGATGCACGGTGCCAGGGGGCCAGGGGGCCAGGCCGGAACGACCGCATCGTCTCAGCCACAGGACGGCGGACACACGGGCAGCAAGCGCCTGAAAGACTCCAGTGTGCCCCTTTACCGTGCACTGCGTGCACTGCCTACTAGGCCTATCTGGGCCTATCTGACCTATCCAGAACTACTGTGCCTCTCTGTGCAAGAACACCAATGTTCAGCCTTTTTGTCCTTACCTCGCTGTGTTTGGCAGGCCCTGATTCGACTCGCCTTTGTCGTCATCTTCTAATTCAGGTGGCAGTCCAAGGAGCAACTGAGGTCCGAATTTGGCAAGGTATCCAAGTCGATCTTTGAAGCGTCCCCAGATGTTAATGATGTGATCGTAATAGCCGCGCTGAGTGGTTCCTTTCGTCTTATTGTAGAAAGGATCCTCATGCCCAGCGAGTGCTCGCTCGAAAGGATCCTGAATTACATCGCCTTCTGCTGCTATTGGAGACCCTTTTCTCTTCCACACGCCAAGCAGCTCCTGTTTCCCGTCGTCCGACAGCTGGGGCATTCGTTGCACAAGAAACCCAATGTGGGCTTCCGGGCCATTGTCCTTGAAACCTTTGTTGGGCCGCCACTCCTCCACGATATCGTCCCAGTACTTGCCAAGAGTCCGAACGCTCAAATCAAAAAAATGTGGCCTCATGTCGTCTTTAGGGACGCAAGGCTTGTGAAACTGGTCTGCCATGTTCATGGGCGCTGCGTACTTCTTTATGCGCGTCTTGCCAACGATGTTCATGATTGGGTCGAACATTGGCAATTTGAAGTCAGCATCCCAGAAGACTTTATGATCTGTTAAATCCTCCAGGTGGACATGTACTCCGCGTTTTCCTCCAAAGATTGGTGGCAAAGCATTGAACGCGATCTCTGGGTGCAGCATCGCAGCTTCGCCTTTTCCATCTGCATCTGGGAACTTACATCCATGGATCCTCCCTTGGCCCCTTCTTTCAGCACCAATATCCGTGTTGTAGATTTCCGGTGATTGAAACTGCAATCGAATTTGCACGTTTCGCTCCAGCCGTGGAGTTTGGCGCATGTCTTTCTTTTCGGAACCGCCAGAGCCTTTGTTTTTGGAACCGGCAGAGCTTCTGTTTTTGGAACCGGCAGCAGGCCGGCTGGCAAACGATGTATCTCCACGGCCTGCACCGTCTGCATGCGACCCATCTGCAATCTGCAAAAAGGACAACGCCTTCTGCTTCCTTATGAATGTTGGGCAGATTGCCTGCAACAGCACATCGTTCGGTGTGCAGTTTTCAGACACACGGCAGGGCTCCCCACCACTTTCGCCCATACAGCACTGCAATTGCCTCAGCATGGGTAGTGTGCGCATGAAGCGGACCACAAGCTAGACACGACTATGAAGAGCATTAAATTATGCGATGTTGAGTGTCTGTGGCTCTAGTCAAGCATGGCACCCTGCTGAGCCCGTGAGCCCGCAGTACAGCAAACACAACCGTTGACGTGGACCGCATGAAGACGCGTGCTGCGTGCGCCCAGTCAGGTGGCTTGGCAGGTGGGGCATGATTGGGTCGCGAGCGTTGGCAGCGGCGCATTTGGGAAACAAGGTGCACTTGATCTTGCTCATTAGCTTTGGCCTTGTTCTGGCCATCGAGCACGTCCCTTGTCATGGCTTTGAACCGGAGACGCTCCTTACATCCAAATCGGATCTGTGCAGCTCGCCTTCAAATGACACGATGACTCTGTGGGCCTCTTGATTGCAGACTGACTAGAGTGTAGCTGCCGACCGCTCATCTTCCACAGAGAAACCAGGCTGCAGTCCACAGAGCATACTCTACTAGTATCGGGCAAAGCCTGCTGTTGCAACCAACGTGCTTGAATCAACCGAAGGTTGGAGGTGCTCAGGGCGGGTACATAAGTTGCTCTTGACATGCTCCTAGCGTGGTCGACCTCACGTGCTTCTCTCCCTGCCCTCTGGGCTTCGATTGCGAATCCACGCAGTCCTCTTCCCGCTGACGGACCTGTTCCGTTGCGTCTTCCAAGGAATCACACCTTGGAAGTCGGTGCGCTGCATATCGAAACAACAAGGTACACTATGCCAGTGCTCTGACATCACGAAGGCCATCTCGGGTGCTGCAAAGATTAAGCCCTCAGGCGAAGGCAAAGCTTCGATACTCGGGACAGCAGCACTCAGTTGCCTCCGAAACTGCAGAACCTGCGCAAGGCATGCTGCTGCTTGCGCTACCCATCGATACAAAACCGAAAAAGACTTCGGTAAAAGTGCAGAGTCTTCGCCTGCTTCAGGGCCTGTGCAAGATCCTTCGTCCTGATGCGGGATCTGCCAAAGCTGCTTGTGCAGTCAGCAGAAGCTCCGGCCTGATATGCGATCCAGATTCGAAAGCACCCTCCACAGAAGCCCTTAGCTCTGGCCACGAGACCTCGAGTCACATTGAGGACATTGAAGCTCTGCAGCGCATCGACAGCATCTTAGCCCTTTACTCGGAGCCTTTGCAGCAGCTTAACCATTTCCTCATCTCAGTAGGAGTTTCTCTGCACACGCAGCAGGCAGGTGTAAACATGCCTTGAGTCGCACAGTCGTACGGGTTCCGGTTTCAGATTGGCAGATCTGCAGTCTGTCCGCAGCGCATATCGGGCTCGACGTGATTTTGTTGGCTCCCCATGGCAAGATGCCTGTGGCATAGCCTTTTCCGTCCACCCAGACTCTGTCGACAGGGACACGATGTGCGATAAGTGAGCCAAAGACCAGCATGCAGAAGTCCTGGTTGCTACTCATGTGAAACGGCGGTGCCCTTGTCGTCACGTCGCGGTTCCATGACTAAGCCACTAATCGACGAAGCACAGCCAAGTGCCACAGCCCGACTTGCATCGCCTCGAGCTGCTTTCCAGGCATCTTCCATAGGTTTCTGATTCCGAATTCACCCAAGTGGTGCCACAGCATGTCGCACCAGTCGCACGAGATTGGGGTCACGTACGCACCGTGCACAACAGTTGGAGCCGCTTGCAGCTGCCCGGCTGCCGGGCCACATAAGACAAGTTTACGGGATACCTTAACAAAACATAATCATGTCCGTGTTTTCTGCGGCATGACCTCATATGCCGTCGTGAGTAATTACATGATTCCTCAACCTCAAATTCCTCACCAGTCAATGTGGCTGTGCCAGACACTCGAACTTCCGCGTCGATGCTGGTTCGCTTGAAAACATCAGAGCTTCACAAGGTGGCAGTCGCATGTACGTGTGTAATGCAATCCTTCAGCTCGCTCTCCAGCCGACGGCCGGCCTTGCAAGAACACATCTGGTATTGAAGCCCTGCAGTCCTTAACGGAATGTACCTAATCAACCTCTCTGGTTGGGGATGTCGAAGCACTGTCTGACCGAATCGTGATGGTCTGGCCTGCAATGCTTTCGCTGGCCCTTGTTCGAGGTGGTCCAGCCTTGGCGAGCACCCGAAAATACCCAGAGCACTGCAAAAAAAGAACGGCATGGCATGGCCCAACCTGCGGCATGAGGCTCTGGCACCACACCAAGCTCAACAGCTTGTTCTGCTGGTTCAAGCGGCGTGACGGAAGGAAGCACCGTCGTCGTCTGGCAAGCACCGCTCCTTTTAGCCAGATTTCCGGCGTGCCCCTGCACGTGCCTGGGTCTGCGTCGTCTGCTGCACCAAGTCCGTCGCCCCCAGCGAGGAGAGGAATTCACTGCAGGGTCAAACTTCCGAAACAGCTCTTTCGCTCTCTCACATGCCTCTCCACAATGACTTTTTGACGTGATCAGGAGACACCACCGGCAACATGCTGGCACTCACGAGACTGCGAGCCTGAAAATGCCAGACCTCGGTGTCTCGTCCACACATGGTCATGTAGGCACGGCACCCCGGAGAAACAAGCTGTCGATCGGACTGCGTGGCAGCGTCCGCTGGCAATTCTTTGAAGCCTCCGCAAGAGCACGATTTATTCCGTATCTGTGCGGATGCTCCTTACTGCTGAAGCCTCGCTATTCCTGCACGGCATGCGCTCCCACACAAGGTTACCCTCCGGGGAATTTGAAGGTCACTGGCTTCGTATTAGGCTGATGTTCTCGAAACATCTTCGTGTGGGGGTCAAACCAGATTGGGCTGCTCGGTTTGGGTGCCGACGAGGTTTCTGGAGGCTGCGAGGCCGAGAAGGGGCCACAAAGCAGAGGAGCGACGGTCACCACGCGTCCTTCCACAGCCTTCCCAAGCAAACGATCCGTCACAAATTCATAGCTATGCTCACCGCCACTCAGGAAAAGAAAGGATGAGTGGGCTGTGTTTTCGTGCTGGACTTTGCCGCTTTCACCAAGGGAAGCGGGAGGATGTTCGAGTGTCGGAGAATGTCTTTCCGCCCCGAGGCCTGAGGCCTAAGCACTGCGGAAGGAACTAAAAGTTCGGTGTTGCTGTGACATTCTTTGACTCTTTGGCGTGCGGCTGGAAGTGGAGCGGCTTTGTCATGCCCGTGGGGGCTTCTGAAGTCTTGAACTTGGGCCTCTCTGCGACAATCTGTCCATGCTTTAAGTTCCACACTCCTGCCGCTATGCAGGAGTCGCACATGAACTTCCTTGCCTTTCCGAGCCGACTCTTCACAGACACTGCTGTGGCGATGATCTATTGAACTGTCGCCCGTGTGCCCAGACATGCTCTGCACCTCAAACCTGCAAAAATCAATCACCTATGGCATGGTCCATAGACCCGAACCAAAATCAATAGCCTGATCAGGCCTGATCCTCGAAGATCGGTTCGAAGAGCTTCCGTCAGCTTGTTGACCCTGTCATCGTGCGTCCAAACACTGAAGACATGGAGATCATAAATCATAAATCCGAAAGGTCCTGCTCCAGGCTTGCGGAAGGATTTCGGCATACTCCTACACAAAGTCGGGGCATGCCGAGCCTAAAAACCTGTAATCTGTAGTGCAAGGCAGAGGCATCCTCACATGACTGCGAGTGCTCATCGATGAGCCGCAGGAGCTCCTGACAAGAGACCACTCAACTGCCCTCACTCTTTTTGTCCCTTTTGCCGACGCATATTCTACAGCCTGGAGATAGAATCAGCTACAACGGGGTACTCAAGCATCAGTAGGCCCCACCCTGAAAGAATACAAAACGCCAAACATCGCGAAACTCGAATCCGTACACCGTAGACACAAATGACACAAAACCCCTGCAACACAAGCACAAAGCGTTAGACCCAAATCCATACCTTTCACTACCCGAAACCTTTTCCGTAAAGCCCGCAAACTCCAAACCCTCAACGTTAAGTCCTAAACCCTAAGTTTGACCAAAGTTGAAACCCTAAACCCCAAACCCCAAGCGGAAACAAGCGGTGTAAACGCAAAAAGAAACCCGCAGTTCAAGACTGAGCCAAACCACGGCCTTGACAACGTCCCTTCTCTATTGTTTCGAATCGTAGACGTCGCAGGGGCCAGGGTGAGCGGAGCTCCCAAGCCGAGGAACGTGGCAACAACTGCAAATGACTGCCGTGAGTGCCATGTGTTCGGACAAGTGGCACCTTTGGGAAAGACCGTCTGCTTGGTTGCATCGCCATGTTTCGGGACGTCCATGTCAAGATCGCATAAGGAAGACCTAAATATTCATTGGCTTCTCCATTGCGCTGGTATCGGGACACGCCGGCGAATCATAGCTGTCTTCTGTCTAGAAGACATGTTACGTGGTGACCTCGCCTTCATGTTTCCGTAATGGCCAGACCAGCAATAGTTGGATGTCGACATTTGCATCTCGGGTTCTCCAACAAGTCACCCAGGCAAAAGGAATGTCGTTCTGGCGTCCTGAAGTGGAATTGCTCTGCCAGGATGTTACGGACGTAAGCGGGCGGGCGGGGATGTGTAGGATCAAGTGCGACTGAAGGAGTACACAACGAAGTGGTTCTCCGGCATGCCAGACGGGATGGCACCTCGCCGTAGTGCTGCACTGCCCGCCATGAGAACCGACAGTAGCTCAGAAATCACTGGGGTTCACTCGGACATTATCCGCACGCACACCTCAACCAAAACAGCAAACAAACCAAAACAAGCCCGTAGGGGCAAAGCAGCCAGATGGCAACATAAGTAAGGCTTCAACAGCAAATGTGCACCCAAACCTTCTTGTGGCCAAGACTATTTGCTCGCGAGAAGCCGATCTTTCCTGCTTTTCAGGGGCCTCTTGCCCAGGTCCATGGTATAGTGAGAACCACCCAGGGGCGAACTGAAAGTGCCATACACATGCCCGTCCTTGCCAGGCACACTCTTCGCTGTCCGCAAAGCCTGCAGCATTGCGAGGGTGCTGTTTTCGACCTCCTTCTCAGGACCTCGGAATGCAATCTTTGGGTGTCGACTGCCTTGCTGACGGCAAGATCTTCCAAGACTTGCACGTCTGACCATCGGTTCGGAAGCACGAACCCCACCACCCACAGCCTGATTGGCGGCAAGTGCACGCTTGAAACACAACTGCTGCCTGCCTGGGCTTCTTGGATGGAGTCTGGCATGCCATTTGTGTTGGCATCGCCTGCCGGCGCGGGCTTCCAGCAAGTCAGGAGTGTCACTCGCAACTAATTACGCGAGTGACTCAGGTCTCTCGGTTTCGGCCCTTCGGTTGTCACAACTTTTGGAGCGGGTGAAACTTCACGCTCTCATAGCCACACAAGGTTTCAGACGTCGAAGATTGCATTTATTTGTGCCTCCCTCTCTCCCGAAAGCGCTACGGCACAGAATGCTAGAGAGGTCTTGGCCAACAACACTTCAGGCAGTAACTATAACTATACCTGAGCCGTCGCGCGATATTCAAGTACTGCAGGCAGAGCAACAGAGCAGGCTAAGCGACGAAACTCACTGCCTGCCTTCGGGCGGTACAGGCTGACATGGCGGACTGCGAGCCGAAAAGTTGTCAAACACCCGCAATACACACGACTTAGCCGTACCAAGCTTCCAAGTTTGCAAGTGATGTGGTGATCGCATCTACGAGACCCTGCCAAGTCTTCAGTCAAGCTTTTTCTCGAGCGAGACACCGCAAAGCTCACTGCTTCCCTTTGCTCTGGCCTTTTCCTCGGCTTCTCATGTCTGATGTCGCAACCAACACCAACACCCAAGCTCGGTTGTGACAGTCTGGCCGAGATGGTACGCGGCGGTAGGAATTGAGTCGGCCGTGCTGGGGCCATGGGGCATGATGGGGCTGGGGGCAACCGTGGCGACGGAACAAAACCCATATTTCGAACAGAACACAACCAAACAACCTGGACATGAACAACCAAGCTGATTGCAGAGGGCATTCCGAACTCGGCTTAACAGGATTTCATCTGGATGGTCGCAGTCAAGCTGCGCTTTCCCTTGCCCCTGTTTCTGGCATCCTGGCACTGCGGGTCCACTCGGCACTGCGAATCGAATCGGCCAACTTTGGTACAGTATCGAAACTCCCCTGGTCTGAGCCTCTGACAGGCTCCTCCTCTGCGTCGCTGTCGACGGCATCATCAGTAAACTGTTTACCTTCTCGGATTCAGCACACAAACTGCGTGACCCCTTTGTGGTTTCACTATCCAGATTATTATTGGATGAATTTCGAGGGTGGCAGCTAGTCATCCTCAATCCTCGGGTCGCTCTCCTACTGCGACGAATTCTGCGCATTTCAATCCATCCACCTGTCCTCGCCCCAAATCCACTCGGCCCGCATGGCCATGGCTCTTTTTTCAGAAGCCCAAACCTTTCAGGAAAGGGTGCCTCCCAAATGTGTTTTGACTGGGCAGAACCAATCGGAAAGCGACTCCAGTTGACGCCCTCCCTCCCTCCCTACCAAATAGACGGCAATGCACGAATCACACCAAATCGTGCATGTACGAAGGAAGCCACAGAAGCGACGCTACTCGTGTCGCCAACGGCAAGATCTCCGAGGGGCCAGATCGTATGTTCATGCAAATATCGTATTCGAGGATATGTTCGAAGCACTGACTAGAATCTACCTGCGAATAGCGTCGTGCCCGCAGAGCCGATGCTCCGATCATGCGCGACACGCTGAGATGCGTGAACACACTTGCACAACTCAAGAAGGTCGCCTGCTCCTTTCCCTGAGTCTTTGCCTTTGGCTTTGCCTTTACCTTTCGTGCTGCCCTTGCTGCCTTTGGCAAAAGGCACTTCCGTTTCATCATCGGTGTCGTCGTCCAGTTCATCACTGTCTTCCTCGAGCGCTCCCTTAGAGGTCTTGCCTTTGCCACTCTTGGCTTTCCCCATGTCTTTACCTTTGCTGCCTTTGCTTTTGCCTTTGCCTTTCCCCTTACTGGGGCTTACAAACTCTGAGTCTTCCAATTCCTCCTCTTCCTCGACGTCTTCTTCTTCTTCTTCCTCTTCCGCTTCTTCCTCCTCCTCCTCTTCCTGCTCCTCCTCCTCCTCCTCCTCCTCTTCCTGCTCGTCTTCGTGATCATCTTCTTCTCCTTCCACCTCCTCCTCCTCTTCCTCCTGCAACTCCTCTTCACCATCTTCCTGCAACTCCTCCAGCACTTGATGCACTTTCCGAGCTTGAGCCCCAAGCTGATTCCAATCAGTCTAGCGCGTGCCTTACAGTAAATGATCCTTACACGCCTGTCTGCAGCCCTACGCAAAATTCAAGCAGTGCAGCCAGCGGGCAAGCTATGTAGAGGCAAACGGAACTGAGTTAATTCATGTGTTCCGCACTCCTCCTCCTCCTCTTCTGCATTGACATCCTCCGCGTTGGGCTCTGAATCGTGCTCGGAAGGCAGTTCCTCCTCATCCTCCTCCTCTGCCGCATCGTCGAGCTGATCATCATCCTGAGGCCCAACCAGAACCGCCTGTTTGCCAGAATCCAGGTCGCGAGGGCATATTTCTTCCTGGTCGCCAAGGGCTGGCTTGCCTTTGGTTTCCGAAGCACCCTGTGCCTGCCTCTTCGCCTTCTCAGCCTCCTCTCGAAGGCCATCGCCCTTGCCACTTGAGTCAGCCAGTCCTCTGGAGCTGCCAGAGGCTTCGCCGTAGTTTTTGCCCTTTTGGCCCTTGCTGGCATTTCCTTTGCTGCTGGCGCTCTCCCTGTTGTCTTGCCAATTCCACGACTCCCATCCGGAATACCTTGATGCGCATGAACTGAAAACAAGTACGCTTCTGTTGCCTGTCTATTCAAGTCTTAAGCTGGCACCGTCCAAGGGTCTCCCAGGCAGCCCATGAAGCCGAAGCTCCCCACCCTCCGCTGCCCTTCCCTCGACCTTTCCGGCCCATGGTCTCGCAAACGCGAGGGTGTTTTCAAACGCATGGAATCACTCTGCAAACATGAAGACGTCTGAGTCTGGCTGGGGTGTGATCGTGTAAAGGCATGCCAGGTAGCCGTTGCAGTTGCGGGCGCTTCGGTGCTGCGTGGCTTAAATGCTAGACCTCTGCAGTGTTCAACATGAAGCATCGACTCCATGTTTAAGATTTGCTGATCCTCGGCTGCGGCACAATGCCCGCTGACAACACATGGAATGCCACATAGCATATCCTTACCAAGGGCTACGGGCAAAGAGCTTTCACACACTCCGGCCCACATTCCCGCTGCCCTGCGAGCCGGCAAATTTACAGTGTGCTAGCCGAGCGGTTCGGGAATCCCAAAGGCGACAGCGGCTCTGAAAATGTCTGAGGTCGTCCCTTCTTCACAGTCCACCGGATTTGGGTGTGGTCTAGACAAGTGACAAGTACGGCATGCCTTATAGCAAGAGCTATCATCTGCAATCCGTTGGAGACTGACTCCGTTTCTGGATGATCTCGCGGTCCCCAGATACCATGACCACGTGGCTCGTGTAAGCTCGTCTGTGCAAGAAGTGCAGTAAAGGTGCATATTCAGACAAAGTGTCGCGAGGTGTGCGGAATGAGGTCGTTGAGCTTCTGTCTGATGGCTCGATGCAGCAACCGAGATTTTTGGTGCAGTAGCCTAGATCGCATCCCTGGACATGCAGCACGCCAAACACAATGCAGTCTGCACCCGTCTTTTTTCACGGCCTGATAGAAGGTTGCGAAACGAACGGCCGTGCAGAAGCACAGCATTAGGCTTGTCAGTGGGCAGAACGGCTACGCCAAAGCCTTTTTGCCACTTCACGCCTTAGGTAAGACTTGCCAGCAGCAGTCCCACCAACCCTTTCGCCACGGGCCGCTGCTGCCGGGTCGCTCGGCCCAGCCCAGCCTCCTATCTAGCAGCATCGACTTCAGCTGCTCGAAATGGCCGATACTAAGCTGACATTAGGAATGGGGACCGCTTGTGCCCAATGTCTTCGCATTCCTGTGGATTGGCTAACGTCTGCCATCTTACACAGGAGAAGGCTAGTATCGCCATCTATGTGAATAGTAGCTCAACCCCTCGACGCATGTTCGATAGAGCCGGGCCGGAGGAGGCACAACTTGGTCAATGCTGCTCACATGGACCAGTAAGCATCTCCCGTCAAAAAAACTTCCACAAGGAGCCCTTGGGAGTTTAAAGGAGAACAAGTGAAGGAAGCAGCTAGCGGGTGTCAACAAATTCCCTTCGCAAGTCCGGACACAAAGTTCTCAACGACGCAGCTTTTAGCCAAAGCCGAATGCTCACCGCATCATCAAAAGTGGCCGCGGCCTGTTGTCAAAAGTAATCCTCATAGCAGGGAGATCTTCATGTGCTGTAGCTAGACACTCGTCACTATCGACATCTTAGGGGTTTGGCTGGCTTCTAGCCTACATAATCCGTCTCTAGGTGCGGTGCCGAGAGGGTTGTGCTGAATCCATGCCCGTCGCGGCCTTGTGCCGCAGCAGCAGCAGTTGCAAGCCAGCACTTGATTGCAGCCGCAACTGCGCATGCCGAAAACTGACAAAGTTGATCTGCATGCCATCTTTAGATGCACTTCGAAAAACAGTGTCTGCCGTCGCACTTTCAGTGTGAGGCAAACTTTCATGCGGCCTTCCGGCAAACGGGTTGGCCATCAAATTCTTAGAAGTCATAAGAGACCGGCCTTGTGTCCAAGTCGAAGGAGAGAGGGGAGAGCCATTCCCAGCGTGTCCATTCGCGAAAACACCAGAGAGCAGTGAAGGAACTTAATGGTTCTGCTGTAGCCGGCGACCTATTCTATGCATGGCCCATGACCAATAAAATACTACATCGTCCTATGCGGTGCTCGAGACTCATACACCGCATCATGTTCTAAGTGGTCGCAGTTCGGAAGAACAAGTCAAGCACATGGGAATAGCTTGGTTCTCTGCACAGGATTTGCCGTAAATGTCTGGTAGACTGCGGCATGACTTTCCGTGTAGGCCCGCGTGAAACGGCTTCACTATCCTCTTTACACGCGAAAGACACCAAACCTCAGTCTGCAAGATCGCTCCCCGCATCGGACCGGTCTATGAACTGAAATCACGGGTCAAGGAAGAAGGTCCAAGCCGATCTTTGATGCGTCGTTGTCTGCTGAGGTGTGCCTCAGGAAGCAGATGTGGTCTGCAGGCACGCTGACGAGGCAAATAGGTGCACAGTGCACGATGCAGTTTGCAAATTTCTGCTTTGCCAGCCTCGCGGGATACAACTGATAGCAGTTCGCTGTCTTGCTCGAAGCAGACTCTCCGCCTGAAAAATCAGCTTGGAAACCCAATCTGTCCACAACATTTTCTGAACTGGACTTTGTCAGCAGCCGCTTAGTAAAGCTGGCATCAGGCCCACGCGCAGCATTGGAAGGCGGACTGGAGGTCGGAGAGGACTAGCACAAGGCATTGCGCGTGACAGCTTGTGGTTAGAAGCTTCGCCTGTGCTGCACACTGCTCTGCCGAGATGACGATGAGCGAGAGTAAGCGCGAATCCACTGCGAATCCACACCATTACAGCAGAGTGACATAAGAAGAGCTGATGAGAAGAGCTCAGTTTTTTCCTCCGAGGCCCTGGCGGCGGCGTTCGCGCCGCGCGCGACGCCTCGGCCGAGGAGCGTTGGCCTCTGCGACTCAGGGCCCGTCGCATCTACGCAGCTCCGCAGCTTTTACGGCTCGCTTCATGTGGGCAATGCGCGCACCTCTCAGTTGCCATATTGCGTCTGTCAACCTCCTTTTCCTTCGATGGCGGCCTGCAGAATACTGCAAAATGCGAAGTGCCCAAGATGCTGTTGATGCGTCTGGTGATCTGTCGTTAGGGGACGGGCGTGGATTGCGAAGGCTTGAAATCGAAGCGGTCCTTTGGGCGAGTAGCGAGTCGGACCGAGACCACCGCTATCACTACGGGCACTCTAAGCAGACACGAAATACGAATCTCTTCGGCGCCTGCCTCCGGGTTGAAGTTCAAGGATGTTTTTGGAGTCGTTGGAGTCTTCGGGGTCTTCGGTGTCTTCGGTGTCTTCGGCCTTGCGAAAGGAAAACAGAGAATCTAGATTGAGGAGTGATTGAGTATCTGCTGTTTCCTCCGAGACTGGATGAGACTGGTTGGTGTCGAGATGTTGAGCCCCAATTACGCGGACTGCACATGTTCGAAAAAACCGTTCAACAACAGCAGCAGGGTGTGGTGTGCATCTCTTCTTGCTGCGGGGTTCCGTTGGACTGGACTTGCCCGGCACCCGGCCTCTATGCAGCTATGCATGTCGCACCACCGAATCCGCTTCCAAAAAAGTGGCCCAAACACTATGAACAAGCATATAAGACCTGATGAGCTTGGCAGATCAGTCGACGGGGGGGTGTTCACGCAATTTCACGTACTCAATTCCGGCCAGACAGCTGCGACTGTCAATGTATATGCATATATATATATATATATATATATATATATATATATATATATATATATATATATATATATACATCCTCTCTCTATGTGCATGTGTGAGTGAGCGAGTGAGCGAGTGAGTGAGTGAGTGAGGGAGTGAGCGTGTGTACGTATCTGTCTGTATAAACTTTTTAATACCTAACCACCCAACCATTCCCATTTCGCAGGCAGGTCTGTGCCTTGAACATCCGTAAATTGGATGATGTGTGGGTGGGGCCGACTGCTGTGGAAAGGTGCTTGGCAAAAGTGTCTGCTTGCTTGCTTTGGCTTGTGGGCTTCCCCTCTGGCCCTGCCATCGTGACCCGTGACGCCACGTGTCCCTGGCATCGAGTGTGTCCTCGCTCTCTGCTTGTCTGTCTTTAAGCCAGTGCTGCTCGTCAAGCTCGGGCTGTAAGCGGATGGCCCTGTGTAGTCGCTGCTCATCTAGCTTGTTCTGCCGCTGTAGCTGCTCAATCATACCCAGGTTTTGTCCGACATCCACGGGAGCCGTGGCTTCTGGTCCTGTGTGGTGATGCATTGCTCAAGAGACTTTTGAAGTTACTCTTGAGGCTAAGCCCATCAGCCTGGAAACTTCCTAGAAACAAGCGCTCCGCGAGCTTTTGTACGCATAGTTGCGAAAAACCGCGAGCATATTTTTATCGCTCGGTTAGTGCAACTGCAATTAGACAAACCTTTGCAAGCGACTTGTTTCCGATGTGGCTGGTAGACATGTTGTAAGAACTGGTGGGCCTGCAAACAGAGACACACACATACATACACACGTGCAACATTCAACATACAGCACATGCATGCATGCCTACGTAACCCTACGTAGGTACATACCTACACACGTACATACCTACATACCTACTTACCTAAAGCCTGCGTACCTACATAGCGAGCAGCCTATTTTGGGCCGGAAACTCAGCAAAGTCGTCCAACACCGAAGTCCTAGGCCCCGCGGGCTGCGACAATCGGAACCAAGCAGTCTCACGCTTGCAAAACCACCGCCAACACCGACACCACCAGCCGCGCCGATGGTCCATAAAATCCAACTCATGGCCATACGTGCAGGCATGCATACATATTCTTGGAAGAGACTTGAGTGACCCTGCTGATGCATCTCATGCTTCAGCACCGTGCAAACGCCCAGGCTTTTTTGCTGCACACTTGCTCTGTAAAGCCCAACCTCAGCAAAAGGAGTACAGAGAGCGGTCTAGACCGCGACGGTCTGAGAGCCCTAGTTTGGGCTCCCAGGCCAAGCACTGCAAACACAGCAGCGTTCCCACTGTGACCTTCACGGGTGGGTGGGCGGGCCAAAGAACAAGCGTGGGACGGCTTACCCCGCTTGTGGCTGCCATGCGGCCAAGATTTCCTGAAAACAAGAACCCAGAACAGAAACCCGGCGCCGAACCTTAGGCGAAAAGCGAACCAGGACTTCAGTGGCTCCCAACTCTTGCACATACGTTTCCAGCATGCGAAAGGATTTCCACCTGCCACGCCATTGCAGCCTCGTCAGGTTTTCATCCCAGCTTCTGAAAAGAAAAGTAGCACCACCTGGCCGCAAACTGGAGGGAAGAAAGGGTGTGCCCTCCAGGACTTCCGACTGCAACGCATCAAAGCGCAGCTTGAAGGCCGCCCAAGAGCCATTCCAAATTCTTCTCCAGCCAGGTGTTGAAGGCAGAGCGTCTACAATCCAAGCTGCCACTCCTGGATGATCCACTCGCACATGCTGTGAGGCCGCCGCCCGGTGTCGAGTCTTCGGCTGGCCTATGCGAACGTAGAGCACCTCGTCGTCGAAGTGATCTCCCGGCAACACCAGATCCTGACGTCGCAGCCCAATAATTTCGGCAGGTCTCAACAAACCAAAAAAGCCCAGAATTAAAGCCACTGCCATCCGCGGCCATCTCCACAGCAGCGCAGTAGTGGCAAGGGCATACACCACCATAAGCGGCATCGGGGGATGATGCTGCACGGGCTCCAGCTGCTCCCAAGTGCGAATGAGATTCCAAGGCCCTGCAAGCGAGGATCTCAGCCATCCATACTGTTGCACCAAAGCGTTCAGCGTCTCCGACGCCGCTCTTCGGCTCTTGTGCTCCAGAAACATGATGATCATAAATTCCTCTAACCATTCGCACAAAACGTCGATGTGCGTCCTGGCCAGCTCGTCCAAGGAATACTGGGGCACACGTGGTTGCAGCCAGATCGTCAAATCCTTCAGAAGGTTGGTGCGGATCTTGTGAGTGAGCGCGGTCACACGGCCCCGCACCAATTGATCCCTTTCTCGCGGTAGCTGCGGCCTGGCTCCCCGCGCAGCCGTTACTGAAACCAAACAGCAGCAGATGGCCAGCAAAAAGCAGCCAACGGTTGAGCGCCCGAGGCAGCCCCTGCAGCTCATCCAGTTCCAACGCTCCTGCTTGATCACCACGCCTCAACTTCCAGAACCATGGCGGCACCGGAATCCTAGGACCTGGAGGCGAGCGAAAACGGCTGGGGAAGTCTGCTCGGATTGACCAAGTCGGCAAATGAACACCCGAAAGATACAAGTTCTTACCGAGGATCCAAGGAGCCTCAGACCGCATGACTCGGTTCAGACTTTCAGACGGGCTTCGCCCCTTTCCTAATGCTCCCAGGTTGACGCGACTGTCCTGACAGACCACAACACGCTTGGAAACTGGCAGTCGTTTCATCAAAGATCTCCTAGCTTTGGCTTCCTGAAGATTGATGTGCTCCAAGCGGGTGAATTTGTACTGCATCACAGTGCGCCAAACAAGCGCTTCCGAAAGCTGCACAGCCCACAACGCCGAACTTCTTTTGCGTCTCCCCTTAGAAAGCCTCAAGAGAACCTCCTCACTCAAGTGCTTACCTTCACACCTTTCCGAAACCTCAGCCCTCGAAGTACCAATCCTAGAAGTGACCTGGTTGTCAAAGGAATCCCACACTCGAGTGCACAAAGAAGCAACTGCTCGACAAAAGCTTCTACTGTAGGTTCTACCACTGAGCACGGCTTCAAGCTTCGGGTGTTGATGCCTATGATGACACTTCTTACCAAGTTCCTGTAAAACAGCAAAGTTGGTCAACAGCTTGATGGACTTCTTGAAGGGACGGCCATATCTGCACCAATCAAAGATGACTTCAAAGGAATTCCTGGCTAACAAAACTTTCCATGCACTAAGGGCTCTCATGAACCCAAAGGCGGGCTGTTCGCCCGCAAAAGCGTTGCCCACCTCCAGTTGGACACTAGAGAGAAGCAGGCACTGAGCAGCATGAAGGTTCCCCAGCAGAGTGGATTCATCCAGCAAGCGGTACCCCCAAGCCCTTTCCAAACTACGCAACTTCGGACCTCGAGAGCGCGAAAAACTATCACACGGCGGGGCCCACCAAAGGAACTTAACCTTCCCACAACGAATAAACCCTAACAGACCCCAAAAAAGCTTTTGATTCCTAAGGTCCCAACCCCGCCTAAGATCAAGAGGAGGCATCACTCGAAACCCTTCATTTAGCCACGCACGACTGAGCTGACAGCAGCCCGCGTACAATTCAAGAAAGTCGTACGGGCCATCGTCCGGTGAACGGACTAGAGACGGCCTCCAGCCATCCCTCGAAAGCAACTCGCAAAACTCTTCAGCAAAAGACGCGGCATCCAAGCGCCGGCGTGAACTATCACCCCTCGTCGGAATATCTGACTGCTCTGAATCAGAATCTCCTAACCAAGCCGCTCCTGTCTCGCTACCTCTTAGGGCGGACTCAAGTCGCGACAACATTGGCATACGGTATCCCTGCTTCTCTCCTCTTCTCCACAGCTCACGGGCCACGTCCACACCAACGGGAGTACTACAAACCCCAGCTCCCGCAGGGGAAGCGTCAACGCAATAAAGATTAGAATCGGGAAGCACATGAAGATCATTTATACAAAGAGGAGCTAAGCAAGCCAACACGCCAAGCTCGTTACGGGCCTTGCTTGAAAGCTTGAAGGGTCCAGTCGAGTCCTCAGGCGATTGTTGACGAAAGACTTCATAAAGAAAACTGTACATCGGTCGGCGGAATTGGAGGCAGTACCCCCAGAGCCCTAAGACACCATCCAAAATTTGCTGGTCCATCGGACCTGGCTTCGCAGACATAGCGGACAGTCGACTCAATGCAAGAAGTCGCCCCCTCGCCGGTCCCACAAGGCCACGCCCACCCTCCAGCTCAGCTCCCCAAGCCTTGACGTGAAGGCTTCTTCGTTGCTTCTTCTTTGGATGGGGAATCAAGTTGGCATAGTCGTATGCCGAAGCTGAAGATGCGAAGACTTCCTGATCTCGCGCTGGTTGCTCCAAAGTCCGCTTCATGCTGGGGAGACGCTTCAAGAGCTGCAGACCTAGGTGGTCATCAATCATGACACCTTCGACGAATCCGCTTTCAGGATACGGCACCGGGTCCCTGTACCTAAGAACTTCATTCGCCCTCATAGCGCCAAAAGCCCTCAAAAGGTTAACATGACTTTCCTGGGCTATATCAACGGCCGCATGGTCTCCCATCCCAAGCCCCTGGAAACAACACGCCACCTCATCTCCTTTGGAGATCCTTCCCTGCGCTTCTGCATCTCGGAAGGCCTTCAGGTGACGAACTTCACTACTCCGGAACAAAGGCCCCACCGGAGAGCTTCTGGCTCGCGCTTCCGTCGCAGAATACGCATGATAAAAATCTTTGACATCATCGACCGAGCAAGCGCAGACAAAGCGGCCCTCAAGTGGAAGCTGACACAGCTGTACCCCATGCGGGAGATCGCGAGAAGCTCCTGCAATGTGCTTCTCGCGCAGATTACGTCTTTTCCTATGAAGGATCTGACGATCCTTGTCCGCATCCTTGGCAACCGCAAACAACTCACACCTATCATCGGCATTAACCTCCGACCCTCGACAAATGAACAACCTGCCCAAATCATCCCAGCGCTTCAACACCTTCAGAAGCTCTGAGCGGGTAGCAGTGCCACGAACCTTAATCGGAGCCGGCATCTCGGAAGCCGGTTTCAGAAAGGAATCAGGATCCTCGAAGATCTGTTTAAAAATAGGCGAAAGGAACAGCCGGGGATCAAAGCTCTGGACTTGGGTAGGAAGGCTAAGCCTATCCGCGACAACCGGCAACGCCTGAGTGGCGGTGAACGCCCCTTGGCTTGACTGAAAAGACCTGCGCGCGCAGGCATAAGGAAGATCACCGAATTGATTTAATTGCTCTCGCAGACTCTCCAGTCGATCGGAGGTCGCGGGCAAACGCAATCCGCATCCAGGGTCTTGAGTTCCCAGGCGGACCACTGATGCAGCAAGGGACTTCAAAAAGCCACACATTTGCATTTGGTCATGTGTCAGCGAAACCCCTCTTCTCCCTCGCAGCGGCGCACTACTCACCCCCAGGGCTTCATGACTAAGGGCACAAACCATCAGATTGACCCATAACTCACTGGCCCTACGGACTTTCCACCTAGCGCACCTTCTACGGGACTGCTTGAGACCACCCGGCTTGCAAGTGACCCAAGCGTAAGGAGGAGGACACGGGAAGATCTCGTTTGATCCTCCCACAGCTTTTGAGGCTTGTTCGGGCATATAAAAAGTACTTCTAAAATAACGAGCAAGCGGCAGATCAGCGCTCTCCAGGAAGCGACACCAATCCTCCAGAAACTCCAGAGGACCCAGAACGGCCGTGGCAGAATTGCCATCGCCCTTCTTAAAGTGAGGCTCGCCCAAAGGAGCACCCCGACGCGGACCACCGGGGGCCGACCAGCTTAGGAACCGGTGTTCTCGGTCTCGGTGGCGTCTCTTCCCCCCCCTTTGGCCTTTGGCTTCGGAGCAGCCGTGGAGAACTTCTTTTTCGTCAACCACTCTTCCTCCTTGAGCTCGTTGATGAGTGCCCCGATCCACGTGGACTCGGCGAGTCGGCTGTACACGTACTGCCGCCTCAGTGCTCCTAAGTCCTGCGTGGCCCAGTGACCCCAAGGTGGCTCCTCCATGCCCGTCAGCCGTGAAGCTACCAACCAATTCTCGTCGATCAGGAACTGCTCCAACGCTCCCATCATCCGCAAGACCTGGAGGCGGGCCTGTCGTGGTTTGTTCTCCAACAGGAGACGATGCACATTTGCGAATCCTTGCAGACAGTAGCCCGCGGTCCTGGACTTTCCTACGGGGCAGCTCTTCGCGAACAACATGGGCACTGTTGGCAGAAGCTCTGCACACTCCACCGCCTTGGCCATGCGAGCTTCCATCCGCTCCGAATAAGCATCGGGATAAGTCTTCATCGCCTGATTCAAGCGCTCTACTGCTTCTATCCCTCGGCCTCCCTTGCTGGTGGAAGACCAACTTTGCTCGCCCTCGCCCTTCTCCGAATCCGAGCTGTCTTCGAAGTTGGGGAGCCCAGGAAGTCTCCGGCCCTTTTTGCTTTTGGTACCCTGCACCATCTTTAACAGTGCAAGCTTCATCAGGTCGTCCACCGACGAAGTTTCGGGATCCACATCCTCCACCAACTTCCGCAGATGCGCCCCCTGTCGAGCTGTTTCCGCTCCTCGGCCCGGCTCGTCTGCCAACCGAGCCGGTGGTGGTCCCGCTTGCTCCCGCACTGATTCCAAAAGAGCCCTGCTTCGATCCCTTGACCCCGGCCCGTTGAGCTCGTCGTCGCCGCCTTTCTTTAAAGGCCCTGTAGGCGGAGCTCTGGCTGGCTCCTGCGGTGATGGACCTCTCCGCTCCACCCGACTCTCCAACTCCTGAAACCGACGATCCATGCTGGCTTGAAGTTCTTGGAGCTGTGTCAAGATGGCGATGTTCTGGTCTCCGGGTGGAGCTGGAGGTGCCTCCTCGGCGGCCGTGAAGTACTCCTCCAGCCTCGCTTCCCCTCCTTCCACCCAGCTGCTGACGACATCGTTCAACTCGACAAAGTCCGGGAGGACCGTATTGTCCCCGACAAAGCCCAGGTACTGTCGCCTGGTCCGCGGGGTTTTCCGATCCAACTGCAAGCGCACCGGCATCGCAAACTCGACGAGGAGGAGTTCGACGACATGCCCTTCCTCGTCGTCTAGCGCCTGGGAGTTCACCGTCGTTCTCAGGTGAGGGCCTACAAGCCCGTCTCCTGGACCATCCATGGCGTCCTCCAAGGTGTCCTCTGGGATTGCTTCCTTGGGCAACGCCAAAATCACCCCCTGACGGCATACTCTCAACGGCACTGCAAGGAAGGCCAAATCTCCCCACTTCAAGATGAGAAGCTCCACATTGCCAGAATCCGACCCCACGACCTGCAAGCTCAGAATTCCTCTTTCGGCAATCGGCATGTTGCTCCAAGAAGATAGGCTTCGGTTTCAACCAAAGAGGGGAACCCTCGGGTATAGAATCCAGGCTTCCACTGAGACGCCCGTCCCGGCGCTTTGCCGTCCTTTGACACCTTAACTGCCTCGTAGAACCGGTGGATGGACCTGGTGATCCGCGGCCAGTTTCCAGAGGGCTCGTATAAGATGCAGTAGATTGCAGAAGGGATGGGGAATGAATCTTTTGCTTGAAGCCCAGTGCCGTCAAGCGCTGCCTGACAGTCTTGCTTTCCCAAGTTGAAGGCTCGCTCGATTCGACGTTCAGGGGTCCAAACGCCAATGGTAGACAGACGAGACCGCCTAACCAAATGCAAAGGAACACCGTGAGACGAAGGAACCAACTCTCCCGGCTCGTCCTCTGTGGCCTCCGGCTCGGGGGCCTCAACCACAATCCACTCCTCCTCGCCGTGCTGATCAACGGAGAGGCGTGATGAGCTGATGCTCATTCACGATAGGCCAGCAGCCTATTGCGTCCCGCCCTTGCTGGCGGCGGTTGGTGAGCCCAGTGTTGGCCCTCCAAAGCAGAAATCAGCAAATGAGCAAGCCACCTACGGCAGCGAGTAGACAATGCGATTCCCACAACCAAGCCTCCACAAAGGAAACCTATCCAAAACACACACAGGGCCAGCAGAATGAGCTCAGCGGCACGCGGCTGCGAATGGCACCAAAGGCTGCTAATCACGGGGAGGGAACTAGACACAAGATCCCTCAGCATTCGACCCGAAAACTTGCAGCAAGGCGCATGCCCTGGATCACTTATCGTCACTCAAAGAATGCAGGCCACGTTGAAGGTTGGTTTTTGGGATCGGGGTCGACTGGACCTGCGGACAAGATGTTTCTCGATGCCATGAGTCCGAGGTTTGAGGCTGCAGTTGAAGCCACTACAGCGGAGGACATCAGTGGTGGAGCGGATGGGTGGATGGCTCAAAAGCCGAAAGCTGTGGCGCTTCTTTGTGAAGAACTTGCTCTTATTTACAAGCGGAGTGGTGGCTTCCGTTTGCGTGGCTGGATCTTGTTGTGATGCGTCCCTGATCCCGACAGTCGGTGGACGCGTTGCGCTTCCATGTCGCTGCCAGTGTAGACATGACAGGTTGCGGTCCGGAAGCCCCACAGGTCGAGTGCTGAAGCCGGCGAAAACTGCAACGGACTGATCGACTTTCCGACGAGTGAACGGCTTCCAGCAGGCAGTTATTCAGTTATTCGCTTCTGTCCCAAATCCGCTCTCCTTCGCCCCGCCGCGGCGATGCTTCACTCTCCAAACCCAGCGCTAGGTGAGCTCCTACGTTGAGCCTGATTTTGGGAATTCTCACCGTACCCCCTTGTACAAGCCTCAAACGATCCAGTTAAAATGGTTGAACCTTAAACAAACTCAAGCACAGCCCTCCGAAGACCGCGAGACTCTGGCATTGGTTGCAACTGGCAGGTTTGCGCGAGTTGACAAGTCCCGAGCGACATCGCACCATGAGGATGCTCCATCATAAACGGATTGTGGTTGTTTGGCCTTGTTCAGTCGAGACAAGCGTGCAACTCGCTATTGTCATTTGGAAATCTGAGGCATCTTCCCGTCTTTGCTCTTTGGAGTTCTCTGACCCATTACCTCCACCAAATCACGCGATATCACAATGCGATTATGACTGAATCCACATCTTAGGTTTGGACAGCTGCTGCGCTCCCGAGTACACGCAGAGAGAGCGCCCTCGGTCAAGGATCTTACACACTGGACGATGGACTCGTCTCTGTTCTGAATCTTCAAGACTCTGGGGGGCCAGCATCTCTTTCTTTGATGCACAATCTAGTGCGTGAGGGTGCAACGCGAGCCAATATGCACCACTACATCGACACCAAACTCACCAGACATGCCCATGGCAACTTGGCAACCAGCAGAATCTCTGCAGCACAAGCATGACATGCGGTGCAGGGAAGTATCAGGCGGGGAGCATCCAAGAAAGACTTACCTAAACACGTCTAAAGCAGGTCGGCCCACTGTGTACTATGGAAACGGTGCAATGCAGGAAGCGGGGAGCGGAACAACTGCAAATTCACAGTCAGCCATACTGACAGCAGGATGACAGTGCTGAGCCTTTTCAGAACGGGCTTGGATTGTGTGCCAGCGAACACTCCTCAACAGCAGGGCCTTCTCGTTTGACGAGCCTAAAAATTAAACGAAAAACCGGACATCATGACAGTTCAGGTTCATGCCGTACTGAAACAGGCAATCAGTACCAGAACTATTCAGCAGAAGTCCCTGATTTCTCGTCGGGGCTGGGTGGGCATGCATTAGAAACAAGCTCATATCTCTCAATCTCTTATCTCCTAAATTCTGAAGCCCTCCCTGCTGGAGACCATGTCTCGGTTGGCTTGTGTTTTCTCTCAGGCTGATCAAGGTTTTCTGCTCTTGTCTTCACTAGTCACCAGCAGCCACTAGCAACCCATCCACGTCATGAAGACCATGGACAACATATCTCCTTCCAATGCCAAAGGGCCAAAACCGACGTCATGTAACTGCATCGGGATCATTCGTTCGAAAGACATCGCATGTGCAAGCCGGGGCGAGCAGGCGGCACTCCTCTCGTCCAACAAGCACAAAAGCACAGTCGTCAAAGGCGAGTCTCTGCACAATTTTCCGTATGTGCACACAAACACACACACACACACACGACAGCCATGAAACCTCTGGGCTTGGTCGTTGGCAGTTACAACGAGCCTTCTGCAGATCCAGCCTCTGTTTACTTGAAGCCCAACACAATGTGGTTGAGGGCGGGGGGCTGGCCAGCAATGGGTTGAGGCTCGATTCCAACTTCTACTCATACTCAGATTACACGAACCCCCCAAAGCGTCCTTCGCTGCGAGACGCTAGAAAGCTCTGCTTTTTGCCTCCTACTAAGGCTTGGGGTTCCAATTAGTTAACAGTTGCTGTGATTTTCATGCATGTGCAACACCACGCAGATAAGAGGGGTGCTTGGCAAAGCTCTCAGAAGCTTCTTTTCTGTAAACTGCACATAGCATCGAGTGCGTAATTTGCCTCGACTGCCGCACAAGAACAGTGCACCGAGATTCGAGTGAAACAGGGTTGCTCCGGTTGTTTCAAAACCATGTGATGGCAAGTATCCTACTGGTAGCGTAGAGTGTAGTGCGCGGCTTTTGTGCATGTGGGCCACGAATGTAATAACAATATTCGACTAGGCGAGCAACTTTAGAGCATGCACGTCATTGCCACAAAGAAAATGTGGCATCGGAGGATGCGCTGATGAGGAACTTGTTTGCTTGCGGCTCAAACACCACGTCCTTCAGGGAGCACTCGTATGCAGCAACACGCACGGGCACACAAGCTTCTAGCCGCAGAGGGCTATTCCTTGGCAACCCTATGTCACACAAGCCCACCGTGCTCTCAGCATCCCGGCCTGGACGGAATCTTCATGCCCCTCCAAGTTCGCCACGAAGACTTTATCCTCTATATTGAAAGTCTTGATGGAGGCATCGCCGGACCTCCAGTCACCGGCATTGGAATGAAACTTGCAACGCTGACGCAAGGCCCTCTTTACACAGAGGAGCCAAGGCTGCGGCGCAATGGCCAAGATCTTTCCACTTCGATCGAAATTCGCAGCGTTGGCAGGGTGGCGTCCGGTATCAATCTGAAGGAATTCGGACACCACCCTCACGTCCCACATCTTCACAATTCCGTCTGCGTCACATGAGGCCACTGTGTCACCCTTGAGGTTGAACATGGCATGATTGCAAGCATTTGCGTGACCGTAGAACGTCTGCACACAAAGGCCGCTGCGGAGATCCCACAGTGAAATGGTCTTGTCACCGGCTGCTGTAAGCACATTGTTGGAAAAAGGCTGGAAAGTCACGAAGTTGACAGAGTCTACATGACCACGGAACGTTTGCCGGCACCGCATGCTCATCATGTCGAATGCCTTCACCGTCTGGTCCTGAGTGCAACTGACACCAGGTCTGTGAAACATCTGGCGTGTAAGCTGGGCCTATGGCCATAGAGCAGGAGACTACAAAGTCCCCCATGTCGTGAAAGGAGCAAGCCCAAACAGGCCTGGAGTCAGATCTCGCTTCAATACACTTCAAGGGCACAACTGCTCCGAGAGGCGCACTGGGTATGATCAGTCAAAGTGTGCTTGCACTTCTCTTTCGCAACATCCCAGATCTTGATGGTGGAGTCTCCAGAAGATGTCGCGACCTTGAGCTGCAGTCGCACAGCTTGTCAGAGAATCCCTATGCTAACCTGAGTGACAATATAGAGAGTGCTTAAATCTATCTCGACACAGTTCGCCACTATCTAAACTGGTGAATCTAAAGCTCTTGAAGCTGGTTTGTGTGAGGCTTTTCCTGTTTGAAACTCCTTAAGCTTCGGCCATCAGAACCTGGAACAACGCGAAACGGGGAGGCAAGGTCCAAGCGCAGCACGCAAACAAGGTGGTGGATCACCCTGTGTTGCCGTAGGTTATATGCGAGCCTCCCTTGTTTGCATTTCGTTTCCGTTTGTTCCTGATGTTTTCGCACGCCGGAAGACTTTACGGCCTGCCGCTGTTTCAGCAATATGAAGCAAGGTTTGTGCACAGACTCCATATACACAGCATGACTTCTCGAGTGTCCACGGCTAGAGGAAAGCTTGGTAGGCAGCGAGGACAACAGAGTTTGACACTGCCGTCGACTCTACGATTCCAAGGCGTCCAACTGTGAAAGGAGATGCATATGTACGCCTGATAAATCTCCCGGACAGTTCGGTGGCGTCGTTGAAAGCCTGACATCTTAGCCATCAATACTTCCGTGGAAATGATGGCTAGGCGGCCAGCCATTTCCAACGCCTGTGAATGATTGCAAAGGGCCACATGGGTCGTGTTCCAACGTGACGCTTAGGATGTAAAGTGATTGCCATCCCCTTCGGAGATTCCCCAAAAAAAATCATTGCAACGGGGGAGGGCTAAGCTTCCTGAGCGAGACTTGATTGTTAGCTATTTCCCCAGCTGACCGTGTCGTTTGGATGCACTTGCATGTCAGTGGCGGAGAAATAGACGAGCTCACGGCCTATGCCGGTCAGCAGTGGGTCCCAAAACGATAGTTGTATTTTTCAGGCACATGCCTGATGAAGCTGGCGATGCTCAGACTCGGAATATCGTGAGGGAGCCAGAACACAGCCAACAGTGGCTTTCAACTTCCGCGGCTCGCAACGAGGAAACGGACTCTTGAATTGCACACCTACAAATGAATGTCTTAAAGAATGCCTCGAGCCTGTGGCTCAAGAGTGGTGCAGCTCCGTAAGGCATGCACCAGGGAGCCACGTGGATGGAAGGAGATGCCACTGACCCAATCCCTGCTGCACATGTTCGACCGAGCCTCTGCCATGTCTGACTGGACTCGCTACCTCGCCTGTGCCCCTCACCACTCAGGACAAGTTGACCTGCGAGCCAAAGGAATCTCTCACAGGGAAACAACATGCCGTCCTTGCACCTGCCTCGCCTTCTGGCACAGACCACATTTTCCACGTATGATCATCACACGCGGTTGCTACCACCGGGATCTTCGGATGGAATGCAACGCGTGACACCGCCTTGGCAACGGGGCCATCAGCCCGAGAGACGAAACGTCCATGGACACCAGGGCTCCAACTCCCAAGTGACCTTTGAAGACCTGCGTCCTCTGGCAGCAAGACATGTTTACAACTTGTTTCTTTTTCGACACACTCGCACAAGGCAGGCATGGCTTCAGGCACTGGGTCCACTAAGCAGTGAAGTGGATTAACACACCCACACGCACAGCCGTCGCCTTGCGAACTCGGCCACCCGCACCGCCTCGAAGTTTGAATTGGTGTAGGGGTTGGTCCTGCAGGGCAGGCGCCAGGCGGCGACTGCAGGCAAGCAGCTGAGCAAGAAGTAAAAGATTTGCTCACACTGAATGGGGCGGGCCTGTCTTCGCTCGGCCAAGGTGCTTCTCGTAGTGTTTTCTTCCTATTGTGCGCATCGTCACCTTCAGTGAGATCCTGCCAGACACTGCGTGCAGTAGCGGCCAGTAGTAAAGGGCTCAGCTGGGTGCTGCTGGCGCCCGTCTGCCCAAAGACACACATTGTGACGAAAGCTACCAAAGCCAAAGCTTCATGATCACGCAAGTGAGTGAGCGAGCGAGCGAGCGACTAGCTGCATGCGGTAAGGAAGCCATGTGCAAAGCACCCAGAAAGCACCGATCCCTCCCCACACATTTAGATGCCTCCGCAAGCGTCCTTGCCCCCTCCACTTGGAGTTCATTCTGGCGAATGCAACAGGCCAGGAAACAAGATCCCAAGGCCAGCAGATAAGAGACAAAGAACAAAAGCGTACATCAACTAGGACAGTCCGCCACCGGCAACAAGGGCAAGACAGCATGCCATCCCCGCGGTAATTCCTGTGCTTGCAACAAGGGTCTCTTCCCCGAAAGGCACCCATCCTGGTACTAATCCAAACAAGCAACGTAAATGCCTCGAACCGCCTCATGTCATGTTCAAAAACGGTACTTGGAAAAGTGTATGTGTAATTCGAGATGCCTTACCAGGACATGCTTTCAGAAAATCGCAGAAAACATCGGCCAAGCCATCATAAAACCAACTACCACGACAACTGATGCGCGCAGTCTAGCATGCGAACGACGCAGAGTTTGCTCAAGATATGCACACCTGACACCGGCCTTGCTATTGGCAGTCTCGTCTTTGGCTTCGGCCTGCTCTCGCTGTCACGGCCACACTCTACAGAGTGGCACACCGAGCGCCTGTGAGAGCTGCTTCTGCAAAGACTCGGCCTACCAGACACCCAAGCAGCAAAAAGGAGCCTTTGTTTGGCCTGCTTGTTTTGTGGTAGTTCCGACACTTGCATTGAGAAGCTCAAATTCCAAGTCGTCAATATTCAATAGGTTGCCCAAATCAACGGGAGCAAGGTATTCGTCCAAGCCGTCCCAAGACAACCAACTGCAGCAATGGCACCGTTCGACCTTTCACCAGTGCATGAGATAACCCACCCACCACCCACCCCCCCCCGGTCGGCCACCGCTGCACCACATGCACGCAACATCACGGACCACTGAATCGGACCGTAACTTTAACCTGGCTACTTAAGCCTTAACGCGCAAACTACATGCAGTTTTGCAATCTTCGACTGCCCCAAAAAAGACAAGCGGCCCAACCAACATCACCACATAAGACCAGAAGAAATGGTTCAAGTTGTCTTGACACGACCAATCTGTCTACTCAAAATAAACTGCTGTCCGACCGTTCTCGCACTGCTGGACGTTCACCCCCCTGTCCCACACACCCGTTGCACAGCCGGCCGTCAGCCAGCTTGGCTGATGCCAACATCCACGTGCTTGAATGCTGCTGCAAGCTCCGTACTGCCTCTACACCTGCTCCAGGCCCTTCATTCCACACTCGCCTTGACATACCGTTTTGTCGATTGTTCTGAGCGGCTGACACTAGTCACCTTCCTGATGGCTGGAATAACCCAAACTGCCCACCTTAGCTGCGTAGCGGTCGCGCTCCAGGCGCATCAGCATCTTCTCCTGTTGCATCGGAAAAAACCCTAGTCGACAACCCTCACATGTGTCTTGAATGTCAGTGCGCTGTGACAGGACGTGCTGCAGAGTCAAAAACAACTCCTTCATTGCGACTTCGTACTTGTGCCGTAACTCCGTCAGCGTAGGCTCGTACTGTTCGTAGTGCTTCTTCAGACGCTTGAGATCCTAGGCCGTTTCCGAACATGGTGCCACTTCGCGGCCCCCAAAGCGAAAGCAACACATAGTGGCAGTCAATGCAGAATAGCAGGCCGGGCGGCAACTATGAGCTTGTTCTTCTCCTGTACGACCTGATTGTGCTGCCATGTTTCCCGAAAGCGGAGGGGGGGGGGCCATCTGTCCAGAGTCTGCCCCAGATTCACTCACCACAGAATCCCACCCGTCGATGATGCATGCGATGGTAATCTCGCTCTTTACGAAACTTGTCCCAGGATTCCTTGGCCTGGCATTGGACCACACATCCGAGCAACTGGACATGTACATTGAGAGCATGACTCCAACACTCGGCAGCGTGCCTTCGCAGCCACCATGCGGGCCTTTTCCAGCTCTTCGCGAAGTAGCAAAACCTGTTGTATATAAGGAAATGCTTTGGCATGGGCACCTGCGCCCCTCGGAATTGCTCAGGGGCTGCGATGTTGCAGTCGGACGTGCGGTGTGGATGGCTTGGTTGTGAAAAATATCCCCACCAGCTCAATTCATCATACGTCGCTCCACCTTGTAATCATTTTGTCAGGTCTTGGGCAGTAGTCATCTCGACGTCACCATCGCCATCGCCACCGTCGTCGTCGACATCGCCGTCGTCGTCGTCGCCGTCAAGCCGTCAGCGCCTGTCGTGGTTCTCGACTCGTTCGTCGTCCTCTTGTTGGTCATATTTTTCAAGTTGCCATTTCATTTGCTGTCATTCGTCTGGCTCTTCTTCTCCGACTTCCAGTTCGACTTCGTCGGACTTTGTCGTCGTCACCGTCAACGTCGTCGAACTTATAGTGGTAGTAGTGGTAGTACTGGTAGTAGTCGTCGTCGTCGTAGTGGGCGGGCCCCCCGTACCAACCACCCCTTTTGCATGTGTTGCTTTGGGGTGGTGGGGGGCTGATAACGTACAGGCAGCCTCGAACAGTTATGACCACCCAATTTCGAGTTTTCGCTGAAAGCCCTCGCAAAGGCAAAAGACAACGTAGCAAGTCCAGAGAAAGTACTGTAAATACGGAGTAAAATGGCTCTTACGGAGACGTTGTTCGGGGTGTCGGCGTAACAATGTCGTCATCATTCTTCCCGCACCCACCCCCCCCCCGCGCACCCCCCCCAAAAGCAAGTCCAGAATCGGATGCTGGAGTTTGAAAACTCGTTGTTAGCAATGAAGTGTGACATGAGCAAAGTACCTTAAAGACCGAGTAAAAAAGCTTTCTCCCACGCAATGTCGAGTTTTCGCTGGAAGCCCTCGCAAAGGCAAAAGACAACGTAGCAAAGTCCAGAGGTAGGCTTGGCGACTATATAAGATGGCTGACGTGACGAAAGCACTGCAAATACGAAGAAAAGGGCTCTTCCGGAGATGTTGTTCGGGGTGTCGGCATAACAATGTCGTCAGCATTCTTCCCCGCACCCCCACCCACCCCCGCAAAAAAGCAAGTCCAGAATCGGATGCTGGAGTTTGAAAACTCGCCGGTGAAGTTTGAGGCTTCGTAAGATGTACTTACATGACGAAAGTGCTGTAAATACCGAGTAACACGGATGTGTGTTACAAGAGTATGTAAAAGGGGTATGGTAAGGGGGGGTGGCTAGTAGTAGTAGTAGTAGTAGTAGTAGTAGTAGTAGTAGTAGTAGTAGTAGTAGTAGTAGTAGTAGTAGTAGTTTTTGTCACCCACTAGTAGTAGTAGTAGTAGTAGTAGTCGTGGTGGTGGTGGTGGTGGTGGTGGTGGTAGTAGTAGTAGTAGTAGTAGTAGTAGTGGGAGTAGTAGTAACAGTAGCAGTAGCAGTAGCAGTAGCAGTAGCAGTAGCAGTAGCAGTAGCAGTAGTAGCAGTAGCAGCATAGCAGTAGCAGTAGCAGTAGCAGTAGCAGTAGCAGTAGCAGTAGTAGTCAGTAGTAAAGTAGTAGTACTAGTACTAGTACTAGTACTAGTACTAGTACTAGTACTAGTACTAGTAGTAGTAGTAGTAGTAGTAGTAGTAGTAGTAGTAGTAGCAGTGGTAGTAGTAGTAGTAGTAGTAGTAGTGGTAGTAGTAGTAGTAGTAGTAGTAGCCATAGTAGTGATTTCGCTCACCCACATGGCACGCCTCTGGCAGCTCCGTGGGGAGGTAACAAGTCACGACGGAGCCCAACCAAACAATAACGAGTCAAGCAGACACACGTATCCACACCCAAGAACGTTGATCCATTGACTCTGTAGGAGTCAGCCTGTGGCGTCTGTCACTTCTGTGCGAAGCAGCCTTTTTCTCTCAACAACAGGCAGCGAAACACAGCCAAGCCCTTGTCCGCACGTGAGAGCCTCCTGTTGGAAACCGTGGTTGCGCGTGTAGACATCGGGAACAATGGTCAGCTCCGAATCCTTCAGGTAGAAAACAAAGGTGAAAGACACGAACCTCGGGACGCTGCAGGCGCTGCAGGCACTGAAGGCGGCTGGCGGTCCTTAAACTTCCCCGTCTGCTGCATCTCGTACCACTCGGCTTGGAAGACCTCCAGGGAGCGCTTCATCTCGTACCTGAAGTGTCACCAGCGCCGTTGAACTGCGCAGTGAGGGGTGGGAGGAACTACAAAGCAGAGGCATAGACTTCAGCAAGAAGTTGCGGAAGAAATCGTCAATGACTTGAGGGCGTTGCTGCACCTCCATGACGGGGTTTGGTGCGATTTGTTTACGAAATAAACAAAGACCGAAACGTCAATCCAACACCAGCCGCATCACCTTGTGCAAGACTGGGCGAGTCTTAGTGTCGGCTCGCCGGCGGACTTGTTTAGGGTTCAATCACTCCAAGACTCCCCTGCCTTGGCCAGTCCAGCTTCTTCGGCTGCATCCTTCGACAGAAGCTGGTGGCTTGAAAATAGCCCTTACGCGCTTACAATGCGCTTACAAATCCGCAGACTCGCTCCACTGCTCAGAGGTTCCTGGCCATCGGCTGGCTGTTTGGTCTCTGCCAACAAACGATTGATGTCATCGAGTTGTTCCTGCGCGGGATCGCATAAGTTCTAGCTGCATGCTTCTTTGCATTTGTGTTCCCGGTCTGTGAGTTGCCTCGTCGTCCTGCTCAAGAAGTTCGGGATCCTCAGGGAGTTCCTCACAACAATATCGTTCATGGCTTGTGCAAGGCTCGGGCACAGCCGGGCAAAGGCGATGTGCCAATCAAATCCCACCGGACATTCGGAACAGAATGAACCCGAGGAGGTGTAAAGGGATCAAAGAGGGCATGAGGGGTGTGCGAAACCCCTCAACCGCCAGGGCCCCCCCATTGTTCGCTGGGGCTTTGGAGGTGTGTGAAAGTCGGACGTTTACCAGGGGGTTCTGTCACTCTTTCTTCGCTCTCTCTCTTTCTTTCGCCAGGGCTATGGTGTAGGGGTTTTACCCCCTACACCGCGCGCATGTGCGCCCCCGACTGTTGCGGAGGAGAAAATATGGCTGTCCTCCAACCACGGCTCTGGTCAGTCAAAAAGACCGAGCTCATCACTCAGCAACTGCATTCAAAACAGGCAAAGAAGATCCGCTAGTTAGAATTGTCAGCAGTATGCTAGGCGAAGTTGGGTCGACATGCCACAGAAGCAACTGGCAGCATTACGGGCAAACAAAGGTAGGAACCACAGGATCGAGCTGCCCTGGCATGCTCCATGGTTTCAAGTGGAAAAGAGACAGGCTGACGGGGGATCCCCGAGGATCAGCAACATCACGACGAAGAGATACATTTGCATGGGATGTCCTCAGTCAGCAAAAGGTGTGTTGAGCGCGTTCCGAATTTTGCCTCAGAGCGGAGGCTAGGTAAAGTGTATATGCATGGCTCCGCGGCCCGTCATGGATTGGTGCTATAAAAGCACATTGTGCTATGGAGAGAGCTGAGGAAACTTCCTGTACGGAGACAAAGGGCATGGACTATCAGACTGAACGGAAAACTGTTTACAGCATGCGCACGCTCAACAAAGGTGGGCCCAAGGGGTTTACCCCCGCTGGGAATGAAACTTGGCTCAAAAGCTCTGAGGGAAAATTCCTACTGCCGTCAGCGGTCATTTTTCACCTCATCGACGTTCTTGCCACTCGCCTTTACGGCGCTTTTCGCGTGGTACGACCTGTAGTCGGCTTTCGCGTCTTTCCGGTAACGCTTCCAGAGGTCCGCGTCCGTCTCCCCAACATGTTGTCTCTGCACAACACCATCTTGGAGGAGCTGCTGCAGTCGCCTTTTTTGGGGCACGGTAAGAGTGGAGGGATCTCCTCGAGGCTCCGGTGGTGCAAAGGAGGGTGCAGCAGACTGGCCTTCATCTTCTTTTGCATTGTCGTCTTCATCCTCTGCCCCTCCTCTGTCCATGTTGTCAGGGCACTCCTTTCTCACACGCTCGTCGTCGATTTCCTCCTTGTAGTGCTCGAGGTCCTCCACTGGGGTTATCCCCCTGGTCCGTGTAAGAGTTATTGGGGTACTGGTCGTCATTGTCGGCGTGGTTCGGCACTGGCTCCTCCTCCTCTTTGACGCTTCCCTTGTCCCCAATGTCCATTCCGTCGTCAAAAACGTCAGTGGTGGGATGGAGTCCCCTGTGTTCAATCTTGGGTTGGTCCCAGTGGCCATGGCATGCTCCTGTTGCAAGGTCGGCAACCAGCTGCTGTTGCGATTGTGGCGGTCCTTCGGCTTGGTCCCCGGCGGCTGCTTCCGTGTTGGGGTCTCTCTCTCTCTCTCTCTCTCTCTCTTGCTTGCTTGCGCAGGGGTGTAGGGTCCGGGGACCCTTGGCCCGAAGGCCTACCCCCCCAAGGGCGGTCAGTCTTCTCGGCCCCTTTCGGGGGTCTCTCTCTCTCTCTCTCTCTCTCTCTCTCTTCTTTAGAGGGGTGTGGAGTAGCATGATGTTGTGACCGAAAGGGCAAGTAAGCAAATACTGAAACTATGTCTTTCGGTCTTTCATCATCCAGTGCTTTGACTTGTGATTTATGCTCGCATACTTCGCCCGACACATTGGGGAGTAGGATAGAAATCTCTCTCTCTCTCTCTCTCTCTCAAGCTTCTCTCTCTCTCTCTCTCTCTCTCTCTCTCTCTCTTGCTCTTCACACAGCCAAGGGGTCCCCACCCACTCCGCTCGCGCCCACACGCGCCCTTTGATCTCAAGGTCTGCTCGTTAAAACGACATGCTGAGGCCCTCTTGTGGTCACTTGCAAAGCCCCCGAACCACACCCTCTAGCCTCATCAGGCTGCTACCTGCTGTGCCCCCCCCCCTTCTCGCAGTTTGCTGCGATGCCACAACTTTTAGGTGTTGGAAGTCTGCTGCGATAGGCACACCTCTCTCTGAGAGTGTTTATTCATGTTTAGGGATTACACCATCATCCGAAACCTTACGATTGCAACCCGAGTGGTACCGGGCAATGGAAAGATGCTAAAACCGACCGGTGAAAATCTGGGTTAAATATTGCGGAAGGGTGGTGTTGAGGGGGCGGGGGTTATAGGAGGAGATTAATCGATAGTCGGGACCTCGCCAGCCTAAGCAAATCCTGGTCTTGTTGCACTTGATTGTACCCAGTACTCTGGACTTCTTCGGTGCAAACTCGCCTCGTAATTGAACTCATCATCGCTCTCCTTGCAGCTCGGCGGTCACCGAAACATTGGACATGAAGCGAACCACATGCGAGTGTGAAGTTTCTGCACTGCTGGCAAGTAATGCGAGGGAGAAGCATCACTCAACTCGATCGTTTCCAAGATGGTGTGCGGCTTGTCCCCTTGCCTCGCAACATCCGAACCTGAGCCACAACAAATCATGTCGTTGAGCATTTGCCAGGGTCCACAACTGCAGTGCTTAGAAGCAAGGTCCAAGACAAAACACTACCAGCCCGTCGTCAAAGATTTCAAGAGTGGCCTCCTTGAAACCAAGAACCGAGAAACAATGGATGCTGATGACTTGCCACACGCCCAGGTCTCTGGCAATAATAACCCACCCACCCCCCACCACCGATTATACACCTTTGTCCGAGGGGTGATTCCTTTTCCAGAGCCCGCCAAAAAAAGGACGGCAGATGACGGCATGCTTTAGGATCAAAGGCCTGCATTCGGCAAGCTGTGAAAATTTTCATTGATAAACCTAGAAGTTCTCAATTATCAAGGATTGCAGAATTGCAAACCTTGAGGTTCCAGTACGGTACAGGACTACTGTCCTATTAAATTTCTATACTCGCCGTGACCCGGAAGCCCCTCAGCCCAGGCGAAGCAATGACAAACAATGACTTGATAGAGTTAACCAATGTTCTAAACCTTCTAAAGAGTGGCAAACGGTCAGCCCACAAGCACTGTGCATGGCCTTGCTTCCCTGCCGATGGCGGTGCCATGCAGGGTCTGCCGAGGAAATCGGAGTCCTCGCGTGCAGATCGTGCCTGCTTGTAGGTGAATCCGACGGCGAAGCCGGGGTCCTGCCCAGCAACCTGGATCCATGCATCCAGCACTTCGAGCCAGACACGGTTCGGCAACGTTTGGGCAGCAAGCTTAATCACGCAAATGTGGCCAAAACAACTGCGCAAAACATGGAGAAGCATGCATGCAGCAAGCACGGCTTAAGCATGCCTTCGGCACGACACAACAGACATTGAATGTAAGGCGCGTGAAACGCCGGCAGCACAGACCAAAGCTGAGAACTTTGTTGCTCATCTCAGTTGATCTTCTTGACAGTTGATCTTGACCTCGACGGATGGAGATGGTACATGGAAAGAAAACACCAGCTTGCTCTCTGCCGTGATTAAGCACGCAGCGCATAAGCATGGAAGACAGGCCAGGCAATCGCATCCTTGTTTCCATCAGGTCTCTGCGAATTTTGCTGGCTTTGCTGACTGAGCTGCCTGTCCGCCAAATATGGGAATGCGCCATGCTCAGTGCCCATCCCAGTTGTCATCCCAAGCGTTGAGCTTGGACCTCTGTCAGCACATCGTAGACCATACCAGTACTCATGAATTCCGACCGGCACTGGTTCGCGGCTCGAACACATTTCGAGAGCGTGAAAGCTGAAGCTAACAGCTTCTGGATTCTTCGGGGCTGCAGCGCACACGTTTCAAACGCAAGCGCCGGTGTCCAAAGCTTCCAGAAGACCATGTAGCCCGAGTTATTTCCCGCATCACTATACATCACCGCTCGAAAAACATGGAAACACCAGAGGATTCTGCACCGGTGGATGAGCCAACTAAGGCACAAGCTTTCCTGCCGGAGATTTCAATGAAGGCAAATCGGGCGATGCAGCCTCCAGCAAAAAAGCCGTGGTCGCCTGGTTAGCCGTGCAAATAATCCGCAACAGCTCAGCTCCAAGCTGCACTTTTAAGCCCGAGCCCGTGCGCCAGACAAACTGCAAGCTCCTTCAAGACGAACTGCGCTGTGCTGCGCTTTTCCCGATTGCAGAACTTGACTTCAGTCCTCGGTGCTACTGAACACCAATCCATTCTCGCCATGCTGGACAAGCCTGGCATTGCACGGGTTGCACAGACCACAGAAAACTCCAAAATCCCATCTAAAAGTCATCAGGCCGCTGCTCAGGCAGCGCTGCAAAGGACCGTGCGCACACGGGCAGACCGGCCCCAAACATGTCCACGACCTCCACAACACGATTGGAATGAGTGCCTCAATGTACACAAGCCCGCGGCCTTCATGGGCAAGTCAATGCCTGAAGAGGAGCTGTGCAAACCTGTTGAGAGAGCTGCTGCTTGTAGGCTGCGGGCTCCGCCCAGCTGCTTCGACAGTGGATACAATACCGTAGCAAACGATCTTCGAGTCAACCCCAGCATGTTGTCGTTTCGTTCGGAAAGGTTCCAAAAGCAGTGCTTGTGGAGACGGACACGGAATGTGGATACTGTATCTGATGGTCAGGTTATGGCGCAGCTCCTTCAGCTTGGTCCGTTTGTCCATCATATCATCCAAGCCACCGAACAACATCCTTCAGGGATTTCCGTGTTCGACAGCAGCTGTTTCCTGGAGGCTGCTTCTACAGCACTTGCCAATGTTTCATCTGAGTTGGTCTCTCAAACCTTAGAGAATTGCTCATCTTGCGTAATTGGAGCAACACGGAGCAACTGCTTTCTTGGCTGCTAAGTCCATCTTCCCAGAATGCAGGAAAAGCATCTGCGCAAGCCGTCCCACTCCGAACATCCCAGCACGTTCCTCACAACCGTGGAACGGAGCTCCAGACGCGATTTTACAACGTACTTCTCTGGCGATGTCTTCAAACGGGCAGCTCGAGACCCGAAGACCCGAGGGCAGCTACAGGCCGGACCAGCCGCTGAGTGCGGCACTGAGACCCAGGTCGGCGCTACCCAGCAGCAGAGCATAATCTGCAAAGCTAAGCCTCAACGGAAGTCCGGCCTGCACAATTGCAAAAGCTCGAAACTGAGTGCTGGCACCACATCGTCACGACGCGGACTGCTTGCAACTGTGGCCTCTAAGACCACGGCATAACCCGATGCGTTCAGACAAGAACTGTGGCACTCTGGGGCCGCGGCGCCATTCTGCGCAAGCGCTCCTGAGCGGAAGCTGTTCAGGACGACAGTAAAACAAAACTCAAACACATAGTGACATAGTCGCTGCATCGTGGACTGGGACGACTCTGTGACGGGTGCCTCGAACTGTTGCCTCAGGTCGCCTTTGCCGGTCACGATCAGAACAGCTCGCGCATTTGCCTGCGATGGGACGATTTCGCAATCACGGGAACTCGACGGCTTGACATCCCCCTGTTTACATCCGGGCCTCTTGACATCCTCCTACATCTGCTAACCGTGTACTGGACACATACTCAGTACATGCATACATACATACTGCATACATACAAACCGACAGAGACAGACAGACAGACAGACAGACAGACAGACAGACAGACATACTTACTCTACTTACTCTACTTGCTCTACTTACTTACTTACCTACCTGCGCATGTAGGCATGTATGTCGGTAGGTAGGTAGGTAGGTACAGTAGGTCTGTACGCTTTCTGACTCTGCCTGAACCAGGTTCTCGTTGAACGCTGGCAGCGCCTGGACCGAACGGTCAGACCAGTCAGCTTCCCAAGCCGCTGATTCTTCTGACTGTGCCACTTTTTAGGTCAGGAGGCATCGAGAAGCTGCCCAAAATCTTCATCAGGAGTCCAAGAGGTCGAGCCTGAATGGATGGAACCCCCATGAACAGCACAAGGTTCTGTGCTCAACACCATGCTGTAAGGCCTAAGCTAACAACGAGAGATGGTCGCCTGGAGGATTTGCCTTATCATCCAAACTCTGTGTGATGTGAAACTGATCTTGAAAATGCTCCACACGTCTTCTTGACCTGCACTCTGCCGATCCGAGCACTGTACTGTATCCTTCAGACCTGCTCCAGCCAGTGAACAATGTTTCACCTCGGGTCCCATTGGGTGCTCCACAACTGAACCGATTGCACCTGAACAGATGCTGCCTTCAACATCCGGCCACCAGTCGTCCACCCTCCAGAACGCTCTTGCTGCACTTGCACAAGTGCACGGGCCATCTGAGGTCAGAACGTCCCCAACATGCCACTGTCTCGCAAACGCTGAAAGAGATGGTGTTGTTCCTCGATGCTGCTTGGCCTCAGCACACAAGCCGCTGGGAGCAACCTCCCGAAGCACAGATGCACATGAACCTGAAGATGCTTGCAGGTCGATCATGCAACGGTCGAGCATCGACCTGCAACCACAAACCCGGCTTCCTCCAAACTCCAGCGAGGCCGGAATGCTGGGCCCTCGGCATTCCACTGCTCCTTTAGGAAACGTTCCATCCTCGAAACGTCAAACGTCAAACGCCGCCGCAAACGCCGTTGCTGAAAGAATTTCAGGCCCCCGCTGTGCTGTCACGCAGAAGGCATCATCTGCAAACTGGCCACACAGCTGCTCGTATATCCGATGGGCCTGTGCAAAAAAACATGCCCAAGCTGGTGCCACCGAGAGCTGGTGGCCTAATTAATCTTAGCAGGCATGGGGGCTCAGGCGAAGTCCTTGACAAGCGGATGTTGGGCTCCCAACCTGGCCCAAGTTGGAGCGAGGCTACTAAGGGAATGGTTGCGCAAGCACGAAAATGGCCGGCTTGTCTTCAGTGCCAGTAACGAGTAGCCAAAATTGTGGAAGTCAATGATGAAGGAGGCTCCCTGGAGCGAGTAGACTAACCACCCTGCTTGAAGTGAAAAAAGCATGAGACTGAAGGGGGCGCACAGAGAGAAGAGAGCGAGAGCGAGAGCGAGAGCGAGAGCGAGAGCGAGAGCGAGAGCGAGAGCGAGAGCGAGAGAGAGAGAGAGAGAGAGGGAGAGAGGGAGAGAGGGAGAGAGGGAGAGAGGGAGAGAGGGAGGGAGGGAGAGGG